CGGGGCGGTGCCGCGGGGCCGTGCTGTGCCGTGCTGTGCTTACTCGGGTCGCGGACCTGCCCGACCCCCGCCCGGGGGGTCCCACCTGCACCCTCCTCCCCGGCAGGGTGTTGCATCTCGGGGGACCGAGACTCTGGAAAGTGCTGGGTGTGAGGGTGACAGCCCTGGCATGGCATTGCCACCAGGTCCTGCATGCTCGGGACAGCCCCACGACACTGCCCCATGGGCCCAGAGGTGGTGCCCCTTACACCAAGGGTGGCCATGGGGTTCACGGGGGACTGCAGAGCTCAGATGGCCTCCCAGAAGAGGTAGATCACTGAATCATAGATTATCCCACGTTAGAAGAGACCCACGAGGAGGATCATCGAGTTCAGCTCCTGGCCCTGCACAGGGCAGCCCCAAGAATCACACCGTGTGCTTGAGTGTGTTGTCCAAACACTTCCTAAACTCTGGCAGGCTTGATGCTGTGATCGCTTCCCTGGGGAGCCTGTCCCAATGCACAAACACCTTCTGGGTGAAGAACTTTATCCTAATACTCAGCCTAAACATCTCACACAGCTTCCTGCCATTCCCTTGGGTGAGCATGGGGATGCAGTGTGAGAGCATGGCATCACCAGCCAGGGGCTGCTGGGATTCACTTTCCCATCCCCATGGGTTTTCTGCCTTGTCATGGTGTTTACATGCCAACCACTACCTGGCACGTGCCCATGGCCAGTTCAACATCCAGCATGGAAAACAGTGTCTGGGCCAGGGCCAGGCCATCCCTGTGCTGGCACCCACTGCTCTTGGTGGTGGTGTCGTACATGGGGCAAACTTGGGCTCGGAGCCAGTGCTGCAAACAGGGTCCGTCCCTATGGAATTTGGGCCAGTGGGGCCCTGGGACCAGAAGAGAGTCCATGGCCCTGGGAGGTTGTGCCAGGGAACAGCTCGTGCTTGTTTGCGAAGGCACAGAGGTTTTTTATTCCTGGCAGTGTTTGCAGGCAGCAGCAAGGCAACGCCAGCAGGCTTTGCACACGCCGCTGGCTGAGAGGGAAGGAAGGGGGTGGAATTACTGAGCACGTGTGGTCTTACTGCACATAAACACGGGTTGTGAAATCACTTCCCTCCTGGACACCCCCGGCGCTGACCCCCCCGGGCTCTCCCTCCAGCGGGGTGGGTTCTGCAGCACCCGTGGCTGAGGAAAGGAGAGCTCCCTGCACCCAAAATGGGATCGTGCACACCTACACAGCACTGTACCAAAAGTGGGGGATGAGAGTGCAGAGGCAATCCTGTGGGGGAAACAGAATTCCCAAATTTCTCGGAATCGGAGGTGCTGTACTGAATCCTGGGACGCCTTGTCCCAGGATCACGTCACTGTGAGCGGGAAGGGGCAGCACAGCATCCCTAAAGAACAGTGTGTGAAGCTGGTATGGCAGAAAATCCTGGAAAAAAACCCAGTTTCCCAATCGGGATATTTTCACCGAATAATGAAGTCATCCCGCAAGCAGGACAGGGAAGGATGAGTGTCTCCCCCGAGCCACAGGCTTGCTGAAATTCTGGGATGCAGGGCATGTGCCAGACATCAGTGGGGAGAGGAGAGCTTGGGGGGTCTCCCACGTTGCTGCTGGTATTTGAATTTCCTGGGGCAGAGAGTAATGAAACCCAAGGCTGTTCCCATCTAGGAAGAGTGCCAAGTCCAGGTCTGATTTTAGAGCAGCCGTAAAGTGAGCAGAGGAGTTGCAGCTGCCCAGCACCGGTCTCAGGGCTTAGAGTTGGACTGCTGGAACCTCCATATGCCCACCAGTTCCCATGCAGGTGGAGGAGAGCATGTGATAGCTGCTCTTTGTCCCACTGCTGTGGGACATGGGGATGGGCAGAGTGCACAGCTACGCGGCAGGACTGTTGCAAATCCACACGGGGGCCAGCATAATCAGATGGATGTTGTGAGCTGGTTAAACCACATGTTTGGGGATAAATCCCACTAGCAACCTGTGCTTCACCCATGTTGTGGGCTCACCAAAGATGTTTTTGCATGGTTAGCACTTGAATCTTTCTGGCTTGGGAGGAATAATGATAACCCTGCTCTTTGCAGAATGGAGTTTAGTGTGACGTTCCATGCCTGTGGTGTGCCTACCCTGCCCCACATTCATCTGGCACAGGGACAGACTTTGCACCCCTCAGAAGTATGGGGTGATGGTGACATCTCAGGGGACACCCTGGGGGAGGAGACCTCCTGGAGCAAAGAGGTATCCCCTAGGGACTTGCAGTGTGAGCAGCCAGTGGGCAGGGGTCCTGTTGGCTACGCCAAACCCCTGTCTGAGTCCTGGAAGTGGTGGCTGGATGGGTCAGGAAAGGTTTTGTAGCTGAAAGACAGCCATGAAAAGCTGTGTTTGAGGAGTATGGGGACAGGCAGGACCTAATGTGTCTCTGGGAAGCAGCACAGTGGCATGTGGCACCTGTGGTGCAACGTTCTGGCAGCAGCATGGCTGTACTTGGGCATCACATCCCATTGCAGACATGACATCCCATTGTGGGCTCCGCACCCTGGCATGGGCATTGCATCCCATCACAGGCATCACATCTCATCATGGACATTGCATCCCACTATGGGCATTACAAACCATAGTCGGTGTTACACCCTGGTGTGGGCATCTTATTGCCTTGTGGGCACTGCACCCCATCATGGGGATCACACCCCGTTGTGGGCACTGCACCCCATGTGGGGGACCAGGTCACTGGAGGCTCTGCAGAAGCACCCAGCCAGACTGGCAGAGGTTGCTGGGGGATAAGCAGAGTGGTTCTTCCAGCCAGTTCAACTAAACTGCCAGGAGGGAAACTAAACCTGTTTCCCTGCCACCCCACCTGCTGTGGAAACGTTCCCCCTGGAAATGGGCAGGGCTGGGACAGTTATTACAGTGAAGACTTGTAATAACGAGCTGCTCATTAGCCCTGAGGACTTCTGGTGGAGGAGAGAGCATGGGATTTGCCCTCGGGTAACAACAGAGTGGGGGGAAAAAAATCCCTTGTTGTGCAGAAAAAGTATTAAAACAAGAGTTGGAGCTGCTGGTAGGGAGAGCAGGGCCAAGACTGGAAGGAGCAAAAATAAGATGCAGGCTCTTTGCCATGACCCCCCACACACTGCCTTCCCGCTCCCCAGGGAAACTGCCCCATTCAACAGAAGTGCCAAGTTCTTTATGGACCTTTATATACATATCACTTTATTTAGGTAGCTTATTACATGTCAAAGTGACAAACACTAAAGAAATCTGAACATATATATAAAAAAAGACAAGCAACATAAACAATAAGGTTATTCTTCAGCCCCCCCAGATGTGCATCACCCCCAGATGTGCAGCCAGGGCTCCCCTATTTGCAGCAGCTGCACTTGGCAGAGGGGGGTCCCTTGCAGACGCAGCCCTGCGCGCACTTGGCACATCCCGCTGGGCAGCAGGAGCAGCAGCCTGCAGAGAGAGAAAAATAAGTTAGGGACACTCCTGGGAGCTCTCAAGGTGGAGTCGGCGCACTGATTTGGAGACCTCACATGCACCTGTGTCCTTCCCTTTTAGCAGCATCCCTATTCCTGGCAGGGTCTCCCACAGTACACACATCCAGGGCTGGCACTGGGTAGGCAGCAGGAGAGTGTGGAACCCTCAAGGGCTCACCAGGGTCCCCCCAGTCCCTCTCTTTCCAAACCCTCCTGCACACGGCTCTGCTGGGGCTGGCAGCATCAGGAGCAGCCGGAAGAAATCCCGATGCTGGTTTCCTCCCCAGACATCCTCTTATGCTGAGCCTGAACTGCCAGTGAGGGAAATGCTCAGGCTTAGGTGATACTGGGTGGCTTGTATTGCCTGGTGAGGGAACAGTATTCACACTACACCTTTGGAGGAAAAAAGTATGTGAGGAATAAACTCAGCTCTGGCAATGCTGAACCTGATCTGATTCAGTGATGCGTAGTGAAAACCCCCATGAGTTTCTGCCCTGTCCCGGGGGGCTCAAGGATCCTCCTTACCTTTTTTGCAGGATGTGCATTTGCAGTTTTTGCATTTGCAGTTGTCCCCGCAGGTACAAGTGCCACCTAAAACACAGAGAAAAGAAGAAGGGGTTAAGAGGAGGGGATGGGATCCCCACATCCCAGCGATCCGCGCGGGAGAGCACTGCCGCTCCTCCAAACCTCCGCCGGGGCTTCAGCGGAGAAGTCACGGCAT